GCGGAGGCAAAAGCGTGAGGTGCCGGGGCCCGGGACAGGTGAGTACACCCGAGCCCAGCGCGCCCGGCGAGTGGAGGTGCTCCCGGCTGTCGTGGGCGACAGGATACCGGCTGCTGGGGCAAACGAGCGTGATCCTTAATCTGATCTGGGTGTTCCTGCTCCGGCAGGGGATTGGACTAGATCATCTTCCCATCTCTAACATTCTGTGATTCTGTGTAGCTCTGTGTTTTAGGAGCAGCATCCTCTGTAGCTCCCACCTGCAATTCCCTCGATTCTTCCTCTTTCTGTGTTTGGCAGGTGACACGCTGATCGTTGAAGAGGACACATCCAAACCCAAGGCTGACTCGCCCATAGTTGCCAAAAGAACGATGTCGAACTCGGTGAGGGAAACCGTGCCCGTGCTCCTGAGGAGGGTGGTTCCAGCAGATAACTCCTGTCTCTTCACCAGCGTGTACTACGTGGTGGAGGGAGGCGTTTACGACCCAGCCTGTGCTCCGGAGATGCGCAGCCTCATAGCTCAGATAGTAGCGAGTGATCCTGAATCTTACTGTGAGGCAGTTCTGGGGAAAACTAACAGGGAGTATTGTGACTGGATCAGAAGAGAAGAGACTTGGGGAGGAGCCATCGAAGTGTCTATTTTATCCAAATTTTACCAGTGTGAAATCTGTGTGGTGGACACACAGACAGTCAGAATTGACCGTTTTGGGGAAGATGCCGGTTACACTAAGCGGGTCCTTTTAATTTATGATGGGATTCATTACGATCCCCTTGAGCGTAAAATCCCTGACTCGGACATCCCTCCCCAGACCATTTTCTCCACAACTGATGATATTGTTCTTGCACAAGCATTGGAGCTGGCAGATGAAGCCAGACGGAAGAGGCAGTTTACCGATGTGAATCGCTTTACGCTGAGGTGCATGGTGTGCCAGAAGGGACTAACTGGACAAGTGGAAGCCAGAGAACACGCCAAGGAGACTGGACACACCAACTTCGGAGAAGTGTGACATCTACATGAGGATGGTTACATCAACTACCTCACCCATCCAGGATAAAATTCTGGATTTCCAGATAAGCTGTATGTAATAATAAAATTCCGTTCACAGAGCTTGAAAAGCATATTAACTTAATGACAGCCAGGACGCACAGGTTTGTTACAGTTAGTGACTTTGCCAACAGATTTGAAATAGGTATCTTCTCGCATGCTAATTTATAGTACTTTGGCAGGTGGTATACGCTGGCAGCTAAAACTTGATTTCTGAAATAATCCTCTCTTTGTGTACATGATCTGAGTGGACATACAAAATCAGGCTCGTTCTACGTTAGTGTAAAATCTAGCCTCTAAGTTACTGAATTAATCTCTCTATTATGTTTTCAGGGTAATTAAATTAATCCGAGAGTTTGGGAAACACACATATCAGCATTACTTAAACTAAGAAATAGACTTTGCCCGTACAAGCAGTTCTTGCAGGGGAAACTGCTTGTTCAGTGCACGATTTTTAACAGAAAGAGTATCTCCAAAGCTGCCCTATACTGTGTTACCATCAGAAGTAGACTGTATTGTTTGTGTGAAGTCATGGCTTTAGAGAAAGAAATGGCCTCTAAGCTTTAAGATAGCCTTCTTTAAATTAATGAGTAGATGGTTAAGTGTTGAATAAACTTATTAATCCTCCGTAGGTAATTTTTAGTTGCTTGAAGAATAACTATGAACCCCCCGGTGTTTACACTGCATCAGGACATAGGCATGTTTCTTGAAATACTTTGGATTCTTCTTCATAATAGTGTCTGAAATTCTGGCAAGAGGGAAATACAGTAGTTAGGAAAGTGACTTAACTTGCATTTGCTAAATACATTTAAGGGGACTTGGGTATAGCCGATCTCGTGGCCACAGTGTTACTAAGCTCTATCAGATTCCAAACACTGTAAATTAGCACTTTAAGGTACAGTTCTCATTCTTTGCCGGTAAACAGTTTTGCCCTTTTTTGAAGGACAGAGTGCTAACCCAGAAGGGAGGCTTGAAGTTTCTTCACCTGCATTCTGCCTTAATGTGTTTGATTTGTCACTGATGACTGTTCAGTAGCAAGACTTTAATTCTGATAATGAAGGGTGAAGTTTAATTGTCAGAACAGAATAAGCTGTGTAGACCGCCCTACTTCCCAAACTGTTCAGAATCAGGGAAGTTGAAATTGGTTTACTATATCTCACCTCACAGCGGGGTTGTGAGGCTTCACAGGAAGTGCTTTGGGGTCTTTTAAAAGGTGCTGTAAAGGTGCATGTTACTCAAGGGGATTTTTTTTTCCTTTGAAATGCCTGTAACACACACTTGTTTTATTGAATTTTAAAATATTCTTAGCCTGCTATTCTTCTGTTACACTGTTTTGAGTTACCTTCCTTGCGCTGTTACAAACGGGGAGCATCTTCAGACTGAGGCAGAAATAAACCCACTTCCCCAACTCCTGGTGCAGCAAAAACTTCGTTTCTATAAAAAGCGAGTTTCATTGAAGTTCTCAGCTGAGGCTCCCAGTTGGACCTTGAAATGCAGGAGGGTCTTACTGAAGAAGGAACATAATTATCTAAGTGCTTTGCTGAACTGAGGCATGAATAATTAAGTATAAAGAATAGAATCACCGAGAGCAGTATGGACCAGGTTTCTTTTTAATTCAGTATTAGAACACACACTAGCACTGGTGGGAGTTTCCTATAGAAAGCCACTTAGCTCCCCGTGTTAAACCCCACTTTGCTTTTAGCCTCTCATTAGAAAAAGAAATAAACCCCAAACCCAACATTAAAGCCAGTCCTCTAGAAGCTGATGCTTGTAAACCTAAAGAAATACCTGATAGCTCAAAGGAACTTGAAGATGACACTGTGTTTTAACTACTTGAGATGAAATGCTGTCTTGGAATGAGACCAAGAGACTGTCAATCCTAAATTGTATCCTCAGCTTTCCCACCGAAGCGGTGAGATGCCTTGGACAAGGAGCTGATCCTCATCCTTTGCCATCTGTCAATCGGACATAATACCTACCTCAGCGAGGTGTACGAGGTGACTGTCTTTGAAACAGAAGATACATATTTATTGTCTGCCATGTTTGCAAATGCATTGACTTTGGGGAGCAACATTTAGATTTTAGCTTTGTATCCTGGATGGATTTCTGAAAGTATGTAAAAGTATTTTTTGGTTGTTTCTCAGTTGCAATATTTTTAAAATTAGCTTATTTAATCCAGAGTGTTTAGCTTCGCCCTATCATGTTTGTATTGGAAATCTGCTAACAGGATCGGTTCCATTGGAGGTATCAATACACTGCTTGGATGTTTTCTTTCATTGCCTAGAAAATAAAATCTCTTTGATTAAAAGGTGTCAACTAAACTGCTGTAATTCATCTTTGTAAACGTTGATACTGTTAGACGCTGACAAACTCTTTCAAAGAACAAGTAACCTGTGGTATGGATCGTGAGTCGGAAAACCTCATGAGATTCTCCTGAACTCTCCCAAACAGAAAGTAGCTACATTATTTGAAATGTAAGATATGGATAGCTTAAAAACACAACTCCCATCAGCGCAGATCAGTTGCTAGAACATATTTCCTTAAACACGTGCCCTGAATGGCAAAAGTTGGTGATGCACCAATAAACACGACTGACGCATGCATACTTGTTGCGTGTCATCTGTGCCTCGGTTCTTGATTTTCAGGTTTGTGCTCTGTTCGCTGCTGTTCACCAGTGCGTTTTCCAGGTCTAACCTAAGCGATGCTGTCTCTGAGCAGTGTGCATCTGCTTTCCCTCTGACTCCAAGAAAGAGTCATGGCAACAGAGGGACGTGGCCGTGCATCCTGTTCCGGACGAAGCTTCTTCACTTTCAACTTGTTCAACAATTACTTTTTTCCCCAATAGTAAAATACTTCCTCTGTGTAATTAGTCAGGTATCGAGAGGAACAACTGTAAAGAGAGTTTTATGTACCTCCAGAATCCTTTATGCATTTAAATATCTAAACCATTAAGCAGACAGACTTCAGGAAGAGTTGGGTTCCATAGCACCCTTATCTACGTCAGAAATGCAATTGCCAGAAAAACTGGTTGTGGGAGTAAATCAGTAATTTTCCAAAGTTTCTGAAGGACAAACTTCACTCCCTAGTTCAGGAACCCAGCGTTCACTTTGATAAAGATTTTTGAGCTAAGCAGCGTTATCTGTTTGCCCCTCTCGGCTTTTGAGGAAGCAGGAGTGAGGGGACAGACATGAGTGTCAAAAATGCAGAATTTCTCTGCTGACTGCCTTGAACACAGAAATCCATGTATTGATGGATTTTTTGAGAAATCAGACTGACACACAAGTGTCATAGCTAGCAGGTTTCACTGCCCACAGCGGGAGCGCAGCTCTGGCTCCTGCCCCGCGCAAGCCCACCCGGGGGTGAGCCCTGCAACCCTCTCCTGGGCAGGGAAACTCTTTAATAAGAGGAGCAAAAAGATATCAGCTTGCTATTTTGAAAATTGCAACTCTTTATCATACAAATTAAATGTCTGCCTGCATTTTAAACCAAACCACGCATCCAGCAGGTTTTGCTCCACTTGGGACCAAGCAGAATAAAATGACTTCACATCGGCTGGAACGAGTGTTGCTTTTTCACTCCTCTGGGTCTGAGCACCAGAACGCTTTCTGTAATGAATGCAACTCGCGAGTTCACAAAATAAGGTCATCCAAGATTGCAGTGTCATTGTTTCTTATTTTTAATTAAAACCTTGGGGGAAATGTTGGGGGCCTGTATTACACCTTGAGAGCTGACTCCTCATTTCTGATGCAGAGTTAATGCCAACTGAGCTACGGGTGCAGATCACCTCAGTTCTCTCTTCTCTGCGAAACAGAGATAATAAATAGGGTTCCTTGCTCAGTTCCCAGCCACATGAAGATTTAATTATTTCTCTAAACTGCTGTGTAATACTAGGTATTAACTCCCCGGTATTTTTCATCGTGGGTTTGTCAGCATACACACTGCACACAGGGTCTGGTGTCAGGAAAAGTGTCAAACACTCCTGCGGAGCCAAATGAACAGCGTTACGCTAACAGGCATCGTACCGGTGACGCCGTGCGGATGCGATTCCTCCAGGACCAGGGCTGAATCATTCCTGTTTTGTGTACGAACAGGGTGAGGCACAACGGGTCTGTTAACATGCCAAAGTCCTTTCGCGGCTTTGTGTCGTTTTCTCTGCATCATTTGACGACTTGTGTATACCCCATGCCATAGATATGAAATCACGCTTTATTTTGGGTTGGAGCTATTTATATTCGTCGGAGGAATGTGGAAAAAGAACAGGTTCTTTCTGGGCATCTGATTCAGAGAAGCTCAAGACTTCTCTTAAGGGATCATGACATTTTCCTGACCTACCCAGAGCCCTGCAGGCAGCAAGCTCTCCCTATTCCATTGCTCAGCTTTGTAAATCCTACCAGCACAGGGCTCTTGCATGTGCAATAAGGAAACAGAGCTGGGTTTGATTTGCTCCCCCTCTCAAAGCAGGCTCAGAACCAAGCACAACCTGACAAACCCAGCACAAACCTGACTCTTTACATGGCTGCACCATCCAGCACGACACCAGTTCCCCCTGGAGAAGCGCTCGCACCGAGTCCCACGCTCAGCTCTGCAATCACCCCCCGCTGCAACGCCCCGGCAGCGCTGGGGCTCCCCTCCGAATCGCATCCCTTACCTCTGCTGCAGGCCAGTGGGGGAGAGAGCAGGGCTGGGGGGGCTCCTGGGGGTCACTGGGCTGCTGATTGCCCAGATTGGTGTGATTCAGCACACCCGGTCCCTTGCGCAACCGTGCCCAGCTGGGGCTCAGCAGCTGCTGGGAACCTCGGTGCTGCCTGGCTCAGCTGCTTTCTCTCCATCCTGCCAGGGGTTTAATTAACTGATGGTTCCACTTCCCTGTTCTGTGTAGCAGGGAACACATGTTGCAACATAACTTTTTTCTAAAAATAAAAATTAAAAAAAAAAATTTAAAAATCATTGAAGCATGAAAACGTGAATGAATCTGGTGGCTGTATCAGTTCTGGAAGTTTGCTGCAGGGTTTCTGCCGGGGTATTTATAGTTATTCAGAGAGGAGCACCTTGCAGAGGAGATACAAGTCTGTACTGGGGCAGGGGAAAAAAATGCCCTGAGCACTGTTAATCAGAGAGAAAAGCTGTAACTTTAATAGGAGAGCCCAAAGTCAGGGTAATAAGCAGTCCCTGCAGTTCTTCTGGGGGGGTTGACGTTACCCAGTGCTGCACTGCGGTGCATATGGAGCAACTGGGCTCTTCTTTACCTTAAGCCATTTAAAAATGGCTTTTTACCCATCTACAAGAATCTCCTTAGAGCATACAGCAGCAGGCGGCAAACTTTCGGTCTCTTGGAAAGCGCTGGCGATGAGCAAGTATATACCTGCTCCAGCACCAATCTGTGCTTTCAGAGCCGAGAAGGAACCAGGTCCTACCCCAAGCTGAGCGACCTCGTGCACAAAACCACCCCAGAGAATAAACCAGTTGTGGGGAAATGCCTTCAGCAGCACCGGGCGCAAACACCCAGCAAAGGACTTAATTACCG